TGGCAAAAGGGACCTCACAGATGTGATTAAGTTAAGGATTCTTGAGAAGGGAGATTGTCCTGGAGTATCCAGGTAGACCCTAAATGTAATCACAATACTCCTTATAAAATGAACACAGAGGGAGAGTCTGACCATGAACGAGGGAGTAGGAAATGTGAGGCAGAAGCAAGAGGTTCAAATGATGTGACCATGAGCTAAGAAATGCCAGCAGCCACCAGAAACTGGAAGAGGCAAGCTCTCTCCTGGAGCCTCTAGAAGAAACCAGCCCTTGATTTTAACTGGTAAGACTCATTTCTGACTTTTGGCCTCCAAAACAGAGAATAAATTTGCATTGTTTAAAGCCACTAACTTTAAGATAATTTGTTATAGCAGAAGTATAAAACTAATACAAAAATTAAATGTTTTAGATGTAGAGTTAAAGGTAGTGTTCAAAAATGAACAGAAGTATGACTTTTCTTGTTCAAGAGGGTAAATTACATACCTTACCATTTTCCAAACACCAGAATAGAACAGGAAAGTGGTGAATTGCTTGTCTTAGTCAGTTAGGCTGCTATAACAAAGTACCATAGTGACTTCTAGACAACAGAAGTTTATTTATCACAGTTCTGGAAGCTAGAAGTCTGAGATCAGGGTCCCAGCATAATGGGGTTCTGATAACGGTTTTCTGGGTTGCAGATTACTTACTTCCCATTGTATTTTTACATGACAGAAAAACAGCCAGAGCACTCTCTGGCATCTCTTTTATAAGGACACTAATCCCATTCAAGAGAGTTCCACCCCCCTGACCTACATACCTCCCAAAGGCTCCACCTCCTAATATCATCACCTTGGGGGTTAGGATTTCAACATTTGAAATTTGATGGGGGACACAAACGTTTACTCTATTGCATTGATGGATGAGAATTTCAACAAATTTCTGGAAGATAGAAAGTATAGGATCCTACTGATAAATGAAACAGAGATATGGAACCACAGTCCAAAACATCTGATAGAGAGCGTTACAGAGAAGGTAGAATCTGATCAGCCCCTAGTAGCCCCTGCAAGGCTCCAAGCTTAGAGCAAGCATTTAAGACAGAGGGGAATGTTGAAATATTGAGCTATTGGGAGGGTTCTTTGAATGCCTATGCCCAAAACATGGCATTAGAGAGTGCTATCCCCCCTCTGTCTCCCCCCTTGCAACAGGCAGTGCAGAATTTATCAACAAAATATCCCAACAAAAATTCCAGAGGGCTTCTGTTTAAGGAAATTGAACAAACTATTGATTGGACGAAGTCAAGACTTTGCATTGGATGTTTGCCCAGAAACATCTTCCTCATTCTGACCTGAGGAAGGGGGTCCCAGCCTGTTCACTTCAGAGCTAAGCCTGCCAGTGATGTACACCCAACCTGTCTGTACACAGTGATTAAGCAGAAGACATTCTTCCATAGGGCAAAGCAAATCTATATCAACTACTTAATCCTTTACTTTTAAATATGAATGAGCAACATAAGTCCATTAAAACTGAGGGAGAAATGGCAACAGAAACAGCAATTAAAAGATGTTTGAGAAATTTGTGTTTCGATCCTGAAGCATCTATGACTTTAAGCAACTGTTAGCCAAGTAAGGGAAGAGAAACCTTTTGATCTTAAAGCTACAACAATTATATCTTGGGTGGACCAGAGGACATTTCATTAGGCTCATAAGGAAGACAATGCAACCCTAACGTACAACTTGGCTTTGCAGTGAACAATATTCATGTAGTTATCATAATGTAAATGCTGATTTTGGTTTTCAAATTTATAACAAAAGATCCTGAATGTTAACCATCTTGACAATGCAAAAGTTAAGACAAGGCTGAGATGAAGCGGAGTTAGCAGGGAAGGAGTGGTATAGAGATATGCGATAAAGAGGATAAATAAGAAATAGAGAGAGATAAATATGGTGCCTAATATCACAACATTATGTAATAACTCAAAAATAACAATGTAAAGATCAAATACTGCAAGGGTGGAAAGGTAGGGTATCATATAAGTGAGTTAAGTCACCTTTCATGACTGAGAGTCAACAGATATTGTCTAAAGTTTTTTTAAAAAATCAAAAATGGAAGTACATTATTTAGAGGCATGAATGTAATCACGAGAAAGCCAAACATAAAAAAGGTTGCTGCTGGAGAGTAGAACTGGGATACAGAAAGGAGGGTTGAAAAATTGTTGTTTTTTTATCATAATTTTTTTTTTACCACATGCATGTATTTCTTTAAGAAACACTAAGTTTGAAAAGTAACAAAACACGAGGGATGTAGTAGATCCTCAATTATTGGCAGTCAAGGACGGTTGAAAGATTGTTTTTTTATCGAAAATTTTTTTTACCATATTCATGTATTTCTTTAAGAAACATTAAGTTTGAAAAGTAACAAAACACTAGGGATGTAGTATATCCTCAATTATTGGCGGTCTAGTGTTATTTTCCAGATGATTCAGTATCTTACATAATCTTGGGACCATTATTTAAGGACTGGTCATGGTAATATACTATTATATTTGTAGACGCTATAGTTAACCACTGTATTCTTGTGTTAATAAAGAGGATGTGGGCGGGGAGAAGGAGATGGAAGGGAAAGGAAGATAATAGGGAAGTCAAGACAGAAGAGCTGTTGAGAGGAGCAGCTTGCTGAGGTCAGACTCAGAGTGGAGATGACAAGTCATCTAGCTGGAGATCTCCAACAGGAGGTAGAGCTTTGGAGAGTAGGCAAGGTATAGAGATATCCTTTGGGGCCATTCTCAGGAAACTCTTAAAGTGATGGCAGCCACAAGCGCCACTCCAGTCTCCATGGGTCTCTAGCTGGATGCGCTTCCTCCTGGCGCTGCACAGCCCTGCCCTCCTTCCCACTTCACACACAGGAGAACCGAATGTCTCTACGAGACCCAACAATGTGCAAGGCCTTCCCACGTGCCACCTACTTGAAGCCTCCCAGCAATCTCAGTCCTCATCCATCTCCCCTTTGCTGTATTTCATGGGGCTCAACATTTCCACACTTGACACCAGTCTCAGTACCATATGCTTTACTAATTGTTTAAGTATCCTAATCTCTTTTCTCCAACTAGATCAGAAAGTTTGTGTTTTTCTTTTTAATTCTTTTGTCTCTCCTAGAGAACTAAGCATGGTGTCAGACTTCAAATAAAGCAATTATATTTCCAATTGCAGCAAAAGTAACAGACAAAGTTCTCATTTTAACCAAAAGAAGTTTCTTTGCCTACCTTGGATTGAATTGTGTGTGAGGCAGGGGAATTATCATGGCTGCCTTTTGTTCCAGCAGATACTACCCCTTCTCAAGAGCAGAATCCTCCATGCAGCAGGTGTGAGTTCATAACCCACAGTGCAGAGGGGGGAAGGCCATACAACCTAGCCTCTGTTGCTAAGAGTACAGGGCTCCCGGGGAGAGACACGTGCAGGACTCAGCTGTACCTAGAGAGGGGAGGGCAGTTTGCCACTGTCCACCATCCTTGTTTCCACCATCACCCCACCCCATATTCTCCAAACAGATGTCACTGCCTGAAATACGAGTTCTTCCAATGATTTCAGTGTCTATGCCAAGGTCACTTTCTTTTACTCATTTTAGCAGACTTCTTTCCAGCTCAGGTCAAGATAGATCTCTGCTCTCAAAGGCCTCGTGTCAACGTTTCTTCCCCTTGTTGCTCCTCACAACACGTGTTTATCTGGAAAGCCCAGGCAGCCAACATGCTCAGACAAGCTGAACAGAACACTCTACTGTGTGCAGGAGAATGGAGTTTTTGGCATGCCCTGTGGCCCTGAAAATAACAATGGCTCTTCAGAAGAGGCATACGCTAAAAAAATAAAAATAAAATAACAATGGTTCAGCTATGAAGATATATTTACCTTCAGATCTTTGTTCCCACAAGTGTACAGAAATACGGACTTGCACACACTCCTGACCTAACTGCCTTTTCTCCTCTGTTCATGAAAGAATTCACAGAGGCCGGGACACTCCCGGTGTGTCCAAGTGAGAATAAATCTATCACTCACTCTTCCTCTGACTTCTTTCAATTTGACAGTGAAGTTTGAATCAAAGGGAACATTTTCATGGTAATAAAGAAGAAACTAAAGTCAAGTAGCAGTGAGTGATTAAATCGCATGTTTGAACCATTTTTTCTGTGTTGCAATACATTTCCCTAGAGCACCCTTGCAATTGTGCCACAGTACCATTTATTATTTACAAGTGCCTTATTTTCTTCTGAGATCAGGCTTTGTTTAAAAGCCCATTCAAGGCTGGTTGTACTTCAACTAAGGGTCAGTTGAAGCTTCCATGTAATCCACTATATGTCAGATGCCATTATGTTATAAGCCTCAAAACCAGCACATAAGGAAATGCATTCACCTAAATTCAAAGAAGCTGCAATATCTCTTAACAGAACTTTACTATCTACAAGGACATGTCAAAGAAAAAGAAAAGCGGGTCTCACGGTTTACTCTGCTGTCTGGTGTACGTGGCACTTGTCTCTGGCACGAGAATATTTATGTATACTTTGTGGGAGTCTTGCTAATTGTAATTATGATTGCTTACTACAGTTTCCAAGGTAACAGTTGTCACTGCAATGCTTCACTGCCAACTCAATTTCCATTCTCCTGCTGATATAACAAATATTATGTGACATTTTAACTGAAAATATCTGTAAATGGGCGTCTGAGTATGGTGTGTTTCTTTAAAAGGGAAAGAAAACAATTATTAGCTTTTCATTATTCATCTCAGGGGCACGTTTGATCGGTAATTACCTCAATTTTATATTTAGGACGGAACGGACTGCGGTCCCACGAGGTCTTGGAATTGGAGTTCCTGGGTTCTGATCCTGTCTCTCCCAGTGACCCCCGCGACCTTAGCTGAGTAGCCAGGAGCTACTGTCCGGAAACTGAGCCCACGCAAGGGAAGCCCCGCCCCCTTTTCCCAGGGTGCACTTCTCACTCATAAGGGGCGGGGCCTGAGGGAGACTAAACCACGCAGGTGCTCTCCGCTGAGGCAGCTTCTGTGCCTCTCCACTCCCAGAAGGAGCAGAATCATCCGGTTAGCTGGTCAGAAATACCTCAACAGGAGGTGTACCTGCGATTGATTCTGGTAATGAAGAAACCTCAGCCCCACAATGCTACCTACAGTAAGAGATCCTGTGGGGATCCCACTTCCGGCCCACTCTGAGATCACTTCATACCTTGGCAGGAGATGTACATCTAGTAGAGGTAATGCCTATACGCACTATATCTTTATTTAGTGTGAATGTGCGCACAATGCCAAGAGCTCAGACTGCTTTGGGTAGGGCACGGTGCCAGAACCACAGCTCCTTGCTAGCTAGCTTTTGTCATGTTTCTAGTTTCTCCACTGGAATTTCTCAACTCTGCCTCCTTACAGGCTGAATTCCTAACCCACCCCACCTGGCTTTGACCTGGTTTCTGGATCCTACTAGCTGGACTTACCTATCCAGGATGCACAGCTGCTGCCCACCTTTGGCAATTGTGTATGTTTTGACTCCTGGCCCCACCCAAGGTGCTCCTATGGTCACCTGCCCGTCTCAAACTATGCCCTCTTCCTGTTCAATTCTCTTTGCTTTGTTTCACCTTGGAATATCCTGAAGGTTAGAAACCGTGCCTCTCACCTTTTCTTTACCCTACTATAAGATATGGTAAGCATTTAATTAGTAATTGATCAATTAAATGTTAATGAGCATTCAATATGCATGTATGAAACAGTTCAAAGGAAAATCTGAGTTTGAGTTATCTTCAAACCTCCGAATACTTCCCTTGTACCTCCATAATATCACGTTAAGATAGTGCTTAAGGCAGTGATTTACAACCATGGGAGAGCAGGAAATCTCCTGTGGAGTTTATTAAAAATACAGAGCATACAAAACCTGAACTGGTTCTATGAACATATTAAAAAATTATTGTTAGTTTTATTAGGTGTGATGCTATCAGCATGCTTATGTTTTTTAAAAGACTCCTTTATCAATGCATGCTGAAATATTTGTTTAAAAATCTATTTCTGAGTTTGCTTTTAAATAATCCCTGGAGGTAAAGAGAGTGAGAGATAGTACTGGTGAAACAAACTTGGATGAGTTAGTGATTGTTAAAATGGCGATGGGACAGTTTTATGTTTGAAATTTCTTAGGATAAAAAATGTTTTAAATACATAAAGTCAATATAGCAAAATAGTAATTATTGTTAAATCTAGGTAAAACTCTGTAATCTCCCAAAGATGAGAAACTATTCTATACTTTAATGCATATTTGAAAATTATAAATAATAGATGGTATTTCAAAATTAAAAAAAAATACAGATTTCCCCAACTCCTAAACCCTCTTGTCCTTTCTGGACCCAAATCTCTACAGGTATAGGCAGGTATATCTTTAAAGCATTGAGACTTAGGTACCTCTACTAGATATTTATTAATGTAATTTTAATTACTGATATTACTTAAAGGTGATACATGCGTATTTCTTATAAAATATTTTATAATTTTAATATTTCATTAACTTGAACAAGCTTTACCCCACCCTCATCCATATCCTGTTAATACAAATTTAAAAGGATTTATATTTTACATGGTTTTTCTCTTGGGATGATATTTCACAATCTACTTAAGAAATAATGCTACAATCTTGATTTTTTTCAATCATATTAAATGAAAAGTTAATAGAAATACATAGAGGTGATGGACTTCAGGAAAGAATACTTTCTGAATACATTAATAGAATGATTTTATAATATATTCTAAATATAAATATTTTCCTATAGCAGGAAGAGAAATTGTAATTATTCATATAATCTAAATATACTTGTATTAGTTTCCTATTGCTGCTATAAAAAATTACCACAATTTAGTGGCTTAAACAATGCAAATTTATTATCTTACAGTCCTAGAGGTCAAAAGTCTGAAATAATCTTATAAGGCTAAAATCAAGATGTCAGCAAAACTTCTTTCCTTCTAGAATCTCTCCTTCTATAGCATCTAGATGCTGTCCACATTCCTTGGCTCATGGCTACATCACTCTGACCTCTGCTTCTATTGTCACATCTCCTTCTCTTATTCTGGCCTCCTGCCTCCCTCATATAAGGATCCTTATTATTATATGTGTTCACCCTGATAATCCAGGATAATCTCCCCAGCTCAAGATCCTTAACTTAATCACATCTACAAAGTTATTTTTGCCATGTAAGATAACATATTCACAGGTTCATAGATTAGAGCATGGACATCTTTGGGGGAGCTATTGTTTTATCTACCACAATAGTCTATTATTTTGCCCTTCTAAATTCAGTGTATTAGCTATTGCTGCAATAATGTACAACAAACTACTCCAAAACTCAGTGGCTTATGGCAACAAGCATGTATTTTACTCACTTGTGGATCATAGGTCAGCTGGGATGGCTCTGCTTGAGGCTGAGAGTTGAGTGACTTGGCTCCAGTGTTAAGTTGGGTTTATGTCTGCTCCACATGTTTCATTTGAGATCCAGGTTAAAGGGGCAGTGAGTATCTGAGACATGCTTTTTCTGTGCAATCACAAGTATGCAAGAGGACAAGCTTGGTCTCATGTGCACATTTACATCCTTTGCTTGCATCCACTCAGATTCCATTGACCAAATCACCTGGCCAAACCAAAAGTCAATGAAGCAAAGAAGTATATTTCATCCCAAGGGAGAGAAGGAAGAAAGTGAATATTTGATGAACAGGAATTCAATTTCCTGTTCATTAGGTGTAATACTAGCCAGCTTGAAACTGCTCAGTGATTATATACCTTCCAAATGTCTTGAGCCTTGACAAATCACTGAAATAAGTTCATAATCTCTCACTGTGACTTCTTTAAAGGCAGCATACAATGGAATGTCTCCAGAAATCTCACGTAAGACATGGATAAAAACCAGGAAGTAGGCAAAAAAGCTCCTAAGGATCACCAAAACATATAAACTAAGGTATGTAGACAACTCTCATAAAAAACTCTTTAGACCTACATCTACAAACTATTTATTCTTACTTTCTACACAATTCTAACAATGTTGATTGTTTCCTAAGTTCACAATAAAAAAATGCACATACACACACAAAAAAAACTAACAGATACCACAAGTAAAACATAGAATAAGGAAACTCAGTCTATAAAAAGCACAAAAGAATGCAATTATTTGATATAGGGGTAAATAAATTGTCCTGTGTAACTTAATAAATCTTAAAGTTCTCAGTAATTACATAAGAGTTTAAGAATAATTAAGCTAGACAGTAGGATGCAAGGAGCAAGGATCTCGCCCATCTTGTTTACCACTGTTTTCCCATTGTCTAGGACAGTGCTTTGTACAAAGTATGCATTCACTAAATATTCGTGGAATTAATGTCCATAATGTTGAAAAAATCATTCTGTTTATTATATTCTATTTAAGATGGCAGAGAAGGACTCAGTATGCAATTATCTGAACCAACATGAGCTATGCTGAGAATAGGGGAGTCAGAAAAGTATTTATAAAAAGGCTACAGAGATGTCTCATGAAAGCCAAAGGCAGAAAGGCAGGTGGGGAGCCAGAGAGCACTCTTAGTCCATGTCTTATCTCTCCTTCACTATGTTCACCCACCTGATTCCCTCCAAAGATTAGCTTTCTGTCTCCCCAGGCAACAGGGAGGGCGAAAGATAGAAACTTCATCTCCAAAAGTTTTATAGTTCAGGACTAGACGTATGTAGAGACTGGCTAACTCTGTCCATGTTTCCCTCAAGTACCCAGGAGAGAGAATTTTTTCTACTCTTGTTCCAATCAGTGAGTCAACAGGAAGCAAAATAAACATGGCTACCAAGAGCCTGTGGTAGGCAGACTCTAAGATGGCTCCTGCTTTCTAGTTTTTATAACCTTGCGTGTCCTTGGCTGGACTTAGGGACTCCCTTCTAATGAATAAAATAGAAATCAGTGGTGGGGTGTTACTCTTAAGATTAGATTATAAAAATACTGTGGCATTCATCTGAGACACTTGCATTCTCTTGAATCATTTGTTCTGGGGTTACCCTGCACCTTGTCGCAAAATAGCCACGTAAAAAGGCCCATGTCATAAGGGATCAAGGCTTGCCAATAAACACGTGAATGAGCTTGGCAGTAGATCTCCACCCTCCCCACACACACCCCAGCTGAGCCTTCAGATGAGACCACAGCCCCAGCCAACAACTCAACCACAACTATATGAGAATCCTTGAGCCAGTGATGCCCAGCTAAGCCAAGCCTGGATTCCTGGCTCAAAAAAACTAAGAGATAATAAATTTGTTATTTCAAGGCTTGAATGTTTGCAGTAATTTGTTACACAAAGTAAATTTTCCCAAAGAAAGGCAAATTATGAGTAACCTAGGTGGATATTCTAAAATATGTCTACTAAAATTAAGACATTTTCAAATATTTCTACCCCAAATGATTAAAATTAATTTTAATACTTAAAAAAGTTAATCCCCCAACCACATAGAAAACTTAGCTGTCCAGAATGAATCATTCCCTAAAGTTATACACAACCACAGTTTTACCATACAAATTCTGAAATGCTCATGGGCACAGCAGTCTTATCATTTGTTAGCTTCTTCCTATGGGAATTATCCAAGCCTCTAATGGTTTCCTCCTTCACCTTCCTGCTGTCTTCTTTTTCATTCTTTTACCATTCATTATCATTCCACTTAGACTGCTGGCAAAGGAGGATGGTATGTTTTACAAACAGTTCAAGTTTGCTCTATGGCAAAAGTTCTGATTGAAGGCTTCATGAGATTGTAAGCAGAAACAATTTTTAGTGTTATGTGTTGGTTTTTGTTTTCCACAACATATTACATTCTCAATTATTATGGGTAATTAGAACTTTTATATTCAGAACATATAATTTTATATATTCATTTCAGCACTAGTCAAACCTGGAGCTTAAAGCTTTAGTGAGCACTTCATATTTACAAGACACATTAGAAATGTAACTATGAAGATGTGTAGTCCTCGACCTCAGGAAACTGACAGCCTCATGGAATGAAAAGATTTAAACACATAAAACAATTTGAGAACAGTAAATATATAGTACAGATCAAAGTATAATTGAAGTTCAGAGAAGTAAGAAGCTTACATGGAACTGGAGTAATCAAAGGAAGATTTAAGAGATGATAAGACCCGATTTGAGTATGAAGGATAGGAAGAATTTAGAAAGAAGAAAAATAGTATGTAGGTAGAATGCTACAGGTAAAGTGAGAAAGAAGAAAAGATGTTAAGAAAGAAGAGAAAAATTTAGAACGAAGAAAAGAAGTACTACAGATAGAGTACTACAGTTAAAAGAACACAAAGAAAAAAATTCTCAGATCTCACTTAGATTTTTACTTGCATGAATCTGTTATTTTAAGCCTAAATAGTGGGTAATATAAAAATAATATAATTGTGTCCAGTAGCCAGGATCGTTTAGGCCTGGGCATAGTTAAGAGGACAGACATGGGGCACAAGGAATGGACGTCTCCTTTCAGTCTCCAAAATTGGCATTCCAAGCAAGTTTTATAGAAGGAGGGGAAAAAAACCTTTTTCCCATTGTCATCGTTCATAACACTCTTCCAGTTTCAACCTTCTCCCACTCTGTCAGCACCCAGTACCATTACCAGGAAGAGTTTGTCATTACTCCCTTCTCCCTTCCTTTGAATCTATCTGGCTTCCAGCCTCCTATCTGCTTGTGGCATTTGGGGATTCTTGTAACACTCATGCCAGGAGCATTGACAGGGCACCCCTCAAGAGTGCATCAAAATACCTGATGTAGAGAATTTAAGAGGCTGAAATCCAGCCCACCCATAGGAATGGCTTCATTCACTCTGAAGAAGGGGTGTCTTTTGTAATTCCTCTGCCAAGAAAAGTAGGATTTTTTTGCAATTTGCACAAAGGTACCCTATATACTAGCAGTGGCCCTGAGCACTGCCAGATCTAAGCTTTCCTAGACATTTTGAGGGCATTGCTATCACTTGGGTCCTCCCCTCATGTCCAACATCAATTGATTTGACAAATAACAGAATAAAATGAATCCGATATATCAACTTGGGTGAATCTGACCAGTTTCCTCTAAGACAATAAAAGAATGCAGGTTATTTTCAGGTATCTCTGTTTGCTATGTAAGGAAATGCAGGATGTCAGAAGACTGACTATAAGAGGAGGCTGAAAAAGGTTTGTCTCCAGACTCTAACCCCAGAATGACTTTCTCAATTCTGATTGATACCACTATCAACAAAGAGTACTTACTATGCCAGTTGAATCAAATCGCTTAGTCTATGAACTAACGGTTTAGTTATCCCTGGGTGTAATTGCTCTATTCATGCTCCCCAGGTATAGGCTGATCAGATATAAAGCTCTCTTGTTGCAACTCATCAGCTAAGACCTCTTTAACCAAAAAATAAAAATGACTAAAAGATTTTAAAGAAGGATTATTTCAAAGTTTGAAAAAGGGAAATCATTTAATATCTCAATGGGCTTAAATGGTCAGGTCTTTTTGAAATCAACATATAACATGATGATGATGATGATGATGACAAATCATTTTTTCTAAAAATGCCTTTTCGGCACAAACTGAGCGACCACTTCACGAACAATTGGGCGCCCAAATAATTGGAAGTATTTCAGAAAAGCAAATGAAGCAAAAGAGATCATGGAAAGCAGAAAATATATGGATGCAATTTTGAGCCTAAATGAACACACAGTGCCATATACAAAATAATCAGTGAGATGTGAAAACTGATGTGGATCCCTTTGATTTGAATCAACAGGGTGTGAAGGACTCTTAGTATTAAATAAAAACCTTGGTGCCAGTTCGCTGTTGTCTGGATCCAGACATCCATGGTCCTAGCTTTGGAGGTGCCAAGGCCCAGGGCTGAGCTATATCCCATCAGGAGGCATGAGGGCAGTTTTGGGGCCAGTACTCCTTGGCTGACTATGCCTCAGAAGCCTTCCTTCTGTCTTTCTTCTCCTGTAAAAGCTTCTTCCCCATTAGCAATATTAAAAGTCCTTTGCAATATAGAGCCTCTGATTCAGAGAAATGGCCTGTAATTTCAGACTAAGTCCAGTGAAATTGGGACACTGTCACATATGGAGCAGCTACATAGCCATTTCTTTCCAGAAAACTGAGAGAAAGAGCAACATTCTTCCTGCCCCAAAGAAAAAACCAAGGACCAGTTTTTCAAAGCCCCAAGAGGCCTGAAGACCTGCTTCCAGAGGTTTCCAAACTTGGTTCAGCCAAGTCCCAGTGTATTGAAAGAGGCTACAGATGAAGAAAAGGGTGGCTGAATAAAGAAAGAAGAAAGCATTTTTAAACAAAGAATTGCTTGAGGCTTCCTTCAAGGTCACCTTAAAATTAAAAGGAGAAAATCTGACAAACTTGGCTTGTGGCAGGATTATATCTTGGAATCTTAATCTGTGTATATAGGTTCTATATTTCACTCCACTGTTTCAACAATACTCAAGGCCATTTTTTTTTTCTCTCTTCTAGACAAAACAGAAGGAGAAACAAAACTCAGAGATGGTGCCTGAGAATGAGACTAAAAAAAGCCATAAGCCCTTTCCATTTAAAGACTGGATGGAAGAAGGGGAAGGATGGGAGGGAGATCAGTGTGCAAAGGATAAATTTAAATCGGAAGAGCAGGAAGATTCCCAGAAGCCCTCAAAGTGGGCAGGATAAAAAGGACTTTGTGCCTGCAGACTGGAGAGACGGTGGAGAATCCTGTAGGCAAGCTGACCCGGTAATTGATGATAATCATCCAAGAATCCTGGGTATCTGTAAGTCCTCCATAACCACACAGGGTACAGTGGAAAATAAAAGGAAAAACTTGCCCCCAACCAAGGTGGAAACAAAACAGAATCATTTAGAAAGTTCTCTCTGGAGCCAAAGTAGGGGTGGACATGTTTGCTTCTATTCCAGTTAAGCACATCATAGGAAAATGCAATACTAAAGAAATGGTTGCAGGAGCCTGGGGTAAAAACACACATTTAGATAAGTAACCAACTGTGGAATTATGGTTAACACAGTTCTTTTTACCTTTTTACAGTTCAAAGAATGTGTAGAAATGAATGAATTGGCCCTGTAATTGTTATTTATTTCCTATACTTATAATGAAAAAAATCCCATGCTGATTTCTAAAATGTTTAATGATGTTCATATCATTCTATCCAATGAATAAGCTTCCAACTAGATAATGAGACTTTTTAAACTGAATCTGATACTGACTGGAGAGGAATGCATGGACACGTGCAAAAAAAACATGAAATCTGTGATGAACGATACTGTTGAAGCAGTAAAATGCATCAAAACCATTGCATAATCTGACTGGAACAGTAGACATTGTGTTCATCAAGCATGCCTTGATCCAAAGTATCTGGTTCTCAATCTTCTCACTATGTTCAATGAGCTGATAAAAATAGGGCAGATACATTCAGGATTGACTTGACCAGCTCTTAGTGAGAAGATACCTTATTAAAATTTTACCAACAGTTGCATGAAAATGCCCTGAACTTCCTCTTTGACAGCATTGACATAGCTCATAAAACTGAAAAATCTGTACATATACACATATACAAACCCTGGATTTATGCATTCATGTTCTTGAAATATTAAGGGAAATTGCTCAGACACCAAAACTGATGTACTGTACTAGATCTTTACCACTCATCTGGGTTCTCCCCTGGTGAGAGACTCATTATGAAAGACACTAAGCCAATGAGTTAGGTAGAAATCATTTTTGAATATTTTCCCACAGTTTATGATTTACATTTTTTATGTTAAAACAGACATAAATACAGAATAAAGAATTCACATAAATTTCTGATATAAAAAATAAAGAATTTTCCCATTTTCTGAAGGGACAAGGCTGAGATATGGCCCCAGACTTCCAGAGATATTAATGTCCACACTATTAGGGATAATTATTGGGAACAGTTATAGAGCACTGGCTTGGAGTCTATATACAGAGAAGCCTATCAGGGATAAATTGCTCAGCTTTCATGACTGTTCATGCCAGAAAAGGGAGTGGCAACAATTAGAAGCCCTTGCAATAGACATAGTTATTGAGGTGTCATCACATAGCATTCGAACAAAGAGGCCATAATGTGGACAACACACGTGTCCAGGAAATATAATTCAATTTTCCTCAAACAATGAGTGGACTCTGTTACAAAACAGATGCAATCTGGAATTAACACCATCTAAATCTGCTAAGAATAAAATATTCATTAGTTGACAGAATACTTCAACTGAGCATGTTTTAAAAGATGGCAATTTAGCCTCATATCCAGATCATTAATCACGAAATCATTATACTTTATTTGTATTATTTCTCTTGATGTGGCATCTTTCCTTGGATGAGACAACCCAATCAAAAAACACCATGAAAAATCTTAGCCCAGCCAGCCCTAGCCTCACCGTCTGCCTTCAAAATGAGTTCTGCTAACCCTCTGCAATCTTATGCATTCATATACCATCCCTACCTACTCTTCCCTGACTGGTACCTATCTCACTGCATCAATTTTTTATATTGCAATCAACCCTACATCTCAGTAGAAGTTTTTGAAAATAATGCAGGGAAAATTATTTTGAAATAAAGTGAAAACTTCAGTAATTTGATTTGCAGGAGGAAATGAAGAACAAAGTGTCACAACCTGAGTGCTTTTAAATAAGTCATAATTAATTACGCATGCATCTATGTTTGAATGCTCAATTTATGACTAATTATGCAGAAAATGTAATTGCGTACTGAAGTATTCAATTGTGCTTTCTCTCACTCTTATTTACCCCAACCAGGAGTTGTGGTTTCTTTGTTGTTGTTAATGATATGTGCCACCTGTTGAAACTGTTGAAATGTTGTCAAGACACAAATAATCACATGATCTCTCCTAAAATATAGTTGTTCCTATTGAGAAAACTGTAGAAAGATCTAAAATTGCTTCATAATTTATCCTATTTTTCAAAAAAAAATGTGGGTACTTCTATATTCTTTTGTCCTCTACTGAATGAAATACAGTTGCTAAGAAATCACATTAGGCACATCCTGCCAGCTTCGTTTCTCCTATGGATTTGCAATATAGACTTTTTATTTTCTTGGAAGAGTCATAAAGCTCAAAGGAATCATGAATGACCGTCACATTTATGTCATCCTAGACAGGCTTCTTTTTAATGATACTAAAGGGAATTTGTAACCTTTTCTCCATCTTAAGATGCCTAATAAAGTGAATATCAAGGAAGCAAAGGAAATAAAACCAAATTTAAAACTTCCTCTGAATAAGTCATGGGAATAACAGCATTTGTGAGTATTTTCTCACTGAAGGAAAAGAGAGAGAGAGAAAGAGCAAGGAAGCAAAAAATTGAAAAGCTTTTATAATACTTAACAAGATATAATGCTCTAAGTGGACTTGAAAAAAATTTAAAATTGTGTTTTGCAGAAACACCTAAGGAAGGTTTATTACATACAGTTGCCTTTTTCCCTTTCTCTGTATGAGCCACATATATTTCAGGTCCCTTTGTGGCCAAGGCTCAGAGAGTGTCACCTGTAAGAGACACTGCCCAACCCCACAAAAGTAAAATCCATTCCAGTCTTTCTGAGTACCTCTACTGAGCCTGTGGCCAGTGATATTAGCAGAACTCACCTATCCACAGCTCCTGCCTTCCAGACTCAGGGAAGCCTATGCTTCCCAGGCCCCTGCAGTCAGGAGGCCATGAGGCAAGGTATAGGCAGTGGGCTGCATGCAAGTCTTTTCCTAGTGAAAGCTTGAGGGAATGATTGTGAGGTCTCCATGCCCTCTCCTCCCCTGCCATTCTTAATGACAGTAGAGTCATGAGATCAAAGCAGCTGGGGCCATCAAGTCACTACATGGAGGACACCTGCACCAGGACCTACAGCAGACTTTGAGCAAGAAATGAATTTTTGTTGTGTTAAACCACACAGATTTAAGGATTGCTTGCTACTTGCAAGCAGCAGAACTAGCCTATCTTGACACACTAGCGTTAGATGGAGTCCAACCCCTACTTTCTGCAGTACTTTGGGAACCCCTGTCTGCTCCCCTCTAAAACCTCTCTATGCCTACACTACTCTAGAGCTCTGACTCTGTCAACCTCCCCACCAAGCCCAGCAATCAGGACTCTGGATTGTTTGTCCTTCCCTTGTCCTCTCTGCTCTCTAATCCTGCTCATCTCAATACAGTCTCCTGATTCTGCATCTCAAAAATCCAAGAGCTGAGTTGACAAAAGTCAAACTCTGTGTAGAGGGCTGAGGATGGAAACAAACTGAGCTTTCCAGGGGGAAAAAATCCCTTTGTGATGGGCAAAACAGGGTGGAGGAAGTGGAAACACACACTTGCTGAAAAATATTGTCCCTGTCATATTTGGTTTTGGTCCAAAAACAATTGTGTTGGGAGTCTTCCCTGCCTAGCTCATTGTAGTTACTAACATTTTATTTGTGATCACTAGCACTATGATTCCTTGACCTCCATTTTCCTGCGCCATTAGAGGCACCTGCTGGTAGCCATCATCTGTGTGAATAGGTCTCCAGATTTATGCGGTGACCACCAGGGGCACTGCGTCCATGGCACTAGTAACATGGTATGAAAACAGTCGGAAAAGAAACATAACTCACATAATAACAGTTAACATAAAAGACTATGCAAACTTTTAATTAAGACTTTTATTCAATTGTTCAACAATATTATTAACAAAATCCATAGATATTAGCACCAACTGTTGCAAACATTGTATTAATAGGTGGGGAGGCTACAAGAAGATGTAAAACATGGTCCTGAACCTCAAAAGGATTGCTTCTATGTGAGGAGACAGAACACATTCACAAAAAGACAAATATCAGCAGAGGACAACATTGAACACAAGCAAAATAAATGGAATTCATCACATGTTGCAGTCAAAATGGGTTAAAGTGATCAAGGAAAACAATGGAAAAGGTGGGTATGTAGCTGGACTCCAACAGACATGTGCAAATCAGGAAAAAAGAAAAGAAATGTGGAGCTTGTCTGTCTTTTCATTTCAGGGGGAGCTGTAGTGTTTGCTGACAGGACTGGAAAAGGAGACTATTTGTCATTATGTATGGGACTAAACTAGTTCCAAGGCCACCCACAACAAACTGGAAGGGATGTTACTCTCATATTTCACAGGAATGCTTGATAGTCCCAATTTCACACCCCAGAAAGAACACTTCTTTATCTCCCTAATCAAGATCATCTAATCAACCCTCATCTAAGTGAGGGTATAAAAAGTGCATTATGCAGATACAGGTCCCTGCCCTCTAGGGGATTACAATCTATACCATCAAACCTGGCTCCTGACAAGCATACAAGCATAATTAACATAGATAAGGATGAAGAATGCGTTTTCTGCAAGCCTCACTGCCATCAGACAGAACAATTTGTAGTCATCACTGATCTGAGCTGAATTCAAATTAGTGACCCAAAGGCTCCACTGTCTGGGTGTTATTTTCAATCTCCTTAGCTATCCAATCTCCAGAAGTTTCATTTTTCATTCTTACTGTGCAGTCATCATCAACTACCAAAGGGAAAGACTGCAATCCAGACACACTAAAAATAGGATTCTTGCCTTCTGAAAGCCAGACTCAGATTTATGACAGTTTTAAAATTTGGTTCTTCATCTTAAAAATTCAACATTCTACAAGAACTGTGCGAAGTCATACCTACCTGGTCTTTAGAACATGAAACACCATAACTTGATGCAGTGGGAGATCAGGCCTTTATGTAATCCATTTACATTAGGGAAAGAGAGCACTTTCTTTTGCTTGACAGGTTGACATGACTTCATGTGTTTTCCACTAATCAGCAGAATCATTAAACCACTGAGGGTTTTGATGGTCTCAGTAAAAAACATCTATTTCTGTAGAACCTATCACTATTAATAATTTTAAAAATATACCCCCCATAGACTATAAAAAGAGGAAGAATTATTTTTTCCTACTTTAATCATATACCACTCTGAAGTTGAACCAAAGAGAGTTCAGATTTAAAATGAGGGCAGGATGATGTCCAACAATAAATTGTAAAGTTACAATGAAAAGCAGGTTACAGAAAAGTATAATCCAATTTCTGTTTTGAATATAGGAGTTTGAATGTGTGTTTACATTTATACTTCCATTAAAAATCTCTGAGAGTTCTAAGGATACCCTAATCATAAAAAAAATAAATAAATAAATAAATAAATAAATAAATCTCTGAGAGAATTATAGCAATATAAACTGTTAACATTACTAATCAGAAGGGTGACTTGTGGTAGAGAGAACTTTCACATTCTCTGTCTTTACAATAATCTAGTCTCATCAGAACAAATAAAGGTATTTCCATTTAGGAAATATACACATTACATATTCTCACTAGCAGGAGACCAAGACTTGGCTGTCAAGAACGGAGTGGCACTAGCCTGGGAATCTATGCTGGAAACTTAATCTCATTCTGGAAGGCAGAGACAATTGACTAAGACTGGGGCTGGGAGGGAACTAATCTGGTTATAGGATGTGTCCCCAGAAGAGTGACCAGCAGTCCACATTACAACAGTCAAGGGAGAACTGATACCCACATAATCTTATTTGTGAGTTGGAATTTGGCCCTAGCATTTTCAGGACAATGGTGTACCCTGATTACTAGGTGTATAGCAGCATCTTACTTTGGGAATGAGCAGGAGAGGTGTTTGTCTGGGTGAAATAGTACCTCAGGGTTAAAGGGAGAAAGAGCAGGCAAGGGTTTGTAAATCCAGCCCTGGACAAAAAGCTGATCTCAGGGCAGGACTCTGGTTTCAACAGAGAATTGAGGTAACAATAAGGAACCAGAGCAGAATCCTAGCCAGGCCCAGGGACGGATGGGAGGGATGAGCACAGAGGCTGCAACTAGGTGGGCATGCCTCATGCTAAGGTTCACAGGGTCATTCCAGAGTCCATGTGCTGGTAATGGCAGAGAGAAGCTGCCTGGCTTAGCCCCAACCTTGGCTCTCCTTGGTTGAGGGACTGGGCCACAAACGGAAAGGTTCAGTATCTAAATTAGGGCAACACTGGGCTGACACAATCAATACCAGCTGTTTAGATACAGCCCTTCTCACCAAAATTATGATAATTTTTCCTCTAATTCTCACCAGTTAAAATATGGATAAGATAATGTCTATCCCCAAGAGTAGGTTTTCTGAATATTTATAGAACATCTGATTACCAAGGCCAGGATTGCCTGCTCAGTACCTGTGAGCCTTTGAGGTCCTGAGTTAACTTAAAAGAAGACAAAGAGATTCTATTCCACAGAATGTTAGAACATTTTATTGATGCCGCAATGTCCATCTACAATCAAGGCAACTAGCATGTGGCCTTTCCAGTCAGCTTCACAAATGACATTCAGAATAAGGACTCTATGAAGGAGGAAAACAATCAGTCTATCCTCATCTAGTGGCTGTGATTGTTCCCTTTCCTTTGTTCTTGTTTGCCCCTTCCTACCTTCCCTCTAGAAGCTCTCAGCATCTTGAGACATTTAGCTAAATGGGTTGGCATTTCAGTCTCCACTCTTTCCAGAATCAGGAGATCAAAGTTGATCCAAATTTGAATCGAAAAATCAAAAATATGGATCCTATAAATAAACTAGGGATAAAGGAAAGGTAGAATATCCTAAGGCTGTCAGCACTTCAGGAACTCCACAGGCATGTTTCCTGGGTAAGGAAGTGCGGGATGGTGGAGCTAAGCTGTAGCAGTGCTGTGGGATCACCCATTGCTGGGCCTCCTCTCCAAACCGCTGCTGCTAAAGGCAGGAGTTCAAAACAGCCCCCATTCCAACTGAAATGATTACCAACACAGTCTTGTTTTATTCAAAGGCGCTCAAAGTCAAAATGTTAAATTTATTTCAACGATGCCCTGATTTTTAACCTCTGCTTCTTTGGAAGATGGGTATTCTACTACTAAAAATTTAAAAAATGGCATTTCTCCCCACCCAGTTCCCTGGGGGAAAAATCTTAAGTGAAGGGGCAGAATATTGTCAGCTTTAAGATTTTCTCCCCTAAATGTTTGTTAGATTTGGGTACTTGCTATATTAGTAGAGGATAGAGCCATGGCAGCTTGTTCTAGGGGAGTTGGAGCCCCAGAGGAGACATGGTCCCTGTCAGAAAGATCATCCCATCCTGGGCGGGGAGGGGGAGTGGGAATGGGGGCCTGTGTGGGAAGGTTTATGGCAGGGT